TCCGCTTTGGCCTTGCGGGTCGGCGTACCTCTGGCATTGATTCGCGAGGCTGGCAAGCTTCCCCCGCCTACCATTTCCGTCATCAAATCGCCGTCACATATCTCGTCTTCCGCCTCTGCCGATCCGAAGGAGAAAAGGATTGAGATGGGGCTGAATATACTCCCAAGAGGGGCGTCCGTGGTGGTGGTGGACGATGTGCTTGCCACTGGGGAAACGCTTTGTGCGGTGCTGCAGCTTCTAGATGAAGCCGGAATCAGTGCTGAGAACGTCAACGTAATGGTTGTAACAGAGTTCCCCGTTCACCGCGGCCGGGAACTGTTGCGTCAGCGTGGCTTTGGCCGAGTCAAAATTCAAAGTCTTTTAGTCTTTGATAGAGCTTAAAAAGAAGCGAGATGAAATGCTAGCTCTGTCCATGATACAGTAGGGTGCGGAATGATGCGGAAGCCCGCTACGGAGCTCCTTATTTTTGGGTGGTGAAGTTGCTTGCAGACAGAGGCTGCAGCACGAAAAACAACCAGAATAATGATTTTATGAAGCAGCTTAGTTAATCAGTCTCTCAACGTGACAGAAGTAGGGTGCATAGCGAGTGGGCCACATTGAATCACCCTCTCAAAAAAGTCACAAAATAAAGGTAATGTTCACTGCTATCCTCGTCAGAGATGTTTCTAGGTACAGTCAGTCATCTGACAAGTGCATGCATTACCAGAAGACTTGCCGCATCTACCACATCGCCAGCCCTTCGTGTCATTCCTCGGCCTCCGACCTCTGGGTTTCCGGCCTCCAGGCCTGGAGCATCTTCGCCAAACGCGTCAGACCCGATCGCGCGTTCCAGCCCACACAAGGATTTGTTCGCCTGCGGCGGTTGACAAGGGTTGGGTGATGTGACCGTCAACGATAAACACACTCGCAATGACGACAGCATTTAGTCATATCGCTTCGAGTACTCGGTTCAACAGGGAGTATTGATTTATCTCTGTGCATCAGCGGCGGGGGCGTCCTATTCTCTTCAAGGTAGGTACCTCTCAGTGAAGTAAACCCCTCTAGCAGGTATCCAACGAATTGCCCCGGCTCGTTGGGAGTGGATCACAGACGCATTACCACATGCACAGCTCTAAGCGCCTTGATCACCCATCATCTGACCGATCCTAAAGACACACGCACAGGTGCCCGATGGATTGCCTACTCCTCTCCTACCCGGAGTCAATGGGTCATCCAGGCCGTTGGCTGCTTCTCCTGGTTGCCAAGAACAAGTCCATTGTGAATCAGATGTTTTCGGCAGGTGCGAGGGCTGTTTTCTAGTTCTCTATCAAAGGCCAGTGAAGAGCGGCCACGATTGATTTTTCCTTTTACTTATCGCACAATGGAATCGGCGCAATCCCTATTTTGCTGCTTTTCAAGCGGCACTTTCGACACTCCTCGCTAGATTCTCAGCATACAATAGAGCGGAAAATCACCGAATGAGTTCCTCCTGCCTGCCAAAGCCCAGAACCAGGAAATCTCCTTTTGAACAGCTGTCTATCGATACCGCCACTGGCTCGCGCTCCTTTGCAGACCACGAAAAAGATGCAAGAACGCAACGCAACGATGTTGTTGGTGCATCGCACGAAACCTGATGACGGCCCGAGGAAAGGCGTTGAAAGATGGACGAGAAAAGGCGGCCCAACCACGAGAGATGTCTACGACAACGCAGCTAGGATTGCGTGCGGACCTTACATGTCGTAATTTGGCTCAACAGGCCAAAGACCACCCGACCGAACTGGCGTGCGGCGCCCTGTTAACAGTCTTAGCATGTAGTGTTCATCCTGGAAATTCCAGGATTTGGCGAGCTGGGTCCTGTGTCTGGTGAATTTTGACGAGCACAATGCCCTCCTTCCCACACCACTGTGAATCTGACAGCTAGAAGGCACATTCGCGTGTTGGTGAGAGTCCACTTTGCGGGGGCGACACCGCCGCAGGATCTCTCTTCTCGTATTTCCAGCGGTCGGGCATGGTCGGGGTCCGCACTCGAGGATATGGCGAATTGTCACATCCGTACAGCAAACTTTGGGATAACATATCTCCGGGAGAAGCCATTGGATATTATTTGAGGCAATTGACTTGCATATCTCGTGTCGAGTAAAGCCTCTGAAATATGCTTCTTATGAAGTCTTTCAAGACACGGGCTACGTATGTCTGCGGGTAGTATGTGACGTGTGAGATGAGGGCAATTGAAGCAGCAGCATCAATGGATTGTCAAAATGTCAGCATATATACAATGGCTCCTAACTAATAGTATTGCACTTGCTTTATAGGCCGCGCGTCCGACGTACCTGATGACTCCTTGTGTCTACCTTATATCTTAATCGATACGTGTTTAACGGAACTAAACCTTCTTATGAAGTCAAGCACTTGAGGCGCTGCTTGCGAAGCTATTGCCGACACAATATAGCAACCTTCTCAGAAACTTGGCGACATATCTTAAACGCGGCATGGCAACAGAGGTTGGTTTAGGTAAGGGGGAAAGGAGAAGAGAAAGCGCAGGCTTGTATATCTGTATTCCTGAGTGACAGCCTCGCCGAAATCTTTTCTACCACAGCTCAGTGCGGTCTCCTGCACAATGGAGGACTCGTCTGCTGTTGGCCCAGGCTACCTTGGGATGCGCTGGGCATGCCCAGTGAGGTGTGAGATTGCGGCGGAAGCCTTTGCTGCTGATGAGACGACGATGCTGAGCCTCGGAAGAGGCTCCGAGTAGCTCTGTGCCCAGCAATCAATTAGCTTTCATTCATCAATGGCGTGTGGGCATGGTTCTATCAAAAGACACTGGAATTCATTTAGACCTTGCAAGGTGGAACGAGAGGACCGATTAGGACTAACAATATGTTCATGACTTCATACAAATGTCAGGGGGAAAGGGCCTGCGGATAGTCGACCGCACAAAGAAAAGCTGTGGGCTCAAATCAAAATTCAACACACCATGCGCGCTCATTTTACCGACGACGGCGTGGCAATCCAGCCCCAGACTCAATCTTCAATCCTTTCCTATTCTACCTCATGCGATTCCAGATCTGTCTGAACCTCCCTTGGGTAAAAAAATACCCGAGTCTCGCCTCTTTTTGGTTCCTATCTGCTCATTATTCCTCGTGTTTCTTCGAGCAAGTCTGCGTGAACTCTCCCCTTCCTTCTCTGCCTCGGCGGTCTGGGCGTCTGTCAGAACATAGCCATGATGGAGGAGATCTTCGTCCGGGTCTTCGGGATACTGGTAGAGAAAACTTGGCCATATAACCTTGCCAACTTCTTGTCTGCGTGGCTGACCCTCTTCAGGCTTCTTTTGTGATGTCGAGGCAGCAGTAGACGAAGCAGGCGAAGGTGTTGACGTGGTCGTCTCTGTGCGTCTGCTGGAC